TGAGAACAAATAGAGATAACAGAAAAAGGGCAAAAGACTTGATCTATACATTTCCATCTTTTCTCTAGATGTGTGTGTGTGTGTATGTGTGTGTCTGTGTGTCTGTGTGTTCATGTATGTCAGTATGAGCATGATGTGGGGAGGTCAGAGGACAAGTTTGTGTTGCCCTTCACCTTCTACTTCGTTGGTGCCAGTGTGTCTTGCACTTGGCTGCTGTGTTCTAGAAGACAGTATTAGCTGGCCTGATAGTTTCTGGGGATTCTGCAGTCCCTGGGTCTCATATCCCCACAGAAGTGTTGGAATCACACACACAAGCTACAACAATCAGTTTTATGTGAGTCCTTGGAATCTGAGCTTATATCCTCAGAAAGAAATTTACCCACTGAGCACCAAATCACAAGCCCCAAATCAATAAATCCTTACAGCTTTACCTTCCTGATATAGTAACTAAAAATAGGCACTGACATTAAAAAGAAGTACTCTTTTAAGAATTTATATAGGATCCAGAGGAAATCAGGATATATATTTTTAATGTATGATGCATATATGTTTTATTTATAGTCTACAAAGAATTAAGTCACAAAAAGCAGCAAGGTAAGTGTCATAGAAACATAATTACACAACAGTAGGTAAAGCTGTTGATGTTGGAAGTTAAGTCTAACCTTCTGCTTCCAGAAGCAATTTTCTTTTAACAATACCTATTTCAAAATATCTCCCATGGTAATTTCATTCATTATGTGTATATTATAAGTTTGATACCATCATGTTGGTGTCATGTACAATGTAGTTTAATTTCAAACATTTAGATATGATAAAGTTCTTCAGGTATTTCTAGTGAATAACTTGTATTTACTAATTATGTTTTTACACAATTCAATGATATACATTAAATAAGTAACTTTCACAAGTAATAATTCTGTCCCAATTAAACTCAACACAGGATGTCAGTCTGGCTCTACAATCTACTCTCTTAATTTTGCTCAGTGGCTCACGATGGCATGTTCATAACATCACTACCTACATGATTAAAAGCACAAAGTTAATAGTGTATTTTTTTCTGTTTCCAATCCATCCATGTTTCTCATTGTGAAGTGGAGATCTTAATATAGAAAAAGAGAAGATTGCTTTGTCTATTTCTAAAACAAATTTTGTCTCATTTCCACTTTCTTACAAATTATTATTGACATCAGAGTAAGCATCCATATACCACTAATATTGATTATATGTACATATAATGATATTATTACAATCTGAGCTGAATTTTCAATAGTGTTATTATTCTTTGAAAGAAGATGCCAGGACAAAAGGGTTGCATTTATGACATGAAGTACTGAACAATACTTCCTTCACCTACATAAACTATAGTTTGTGCTATTAATCACTCAAACTGCAATCAAAAAGCTCAACCCCAGAATCATCAGCAATATTTTACAGTGCATGTCTTGTGATGGGAAACCATATTTCTCAATTCTAGGAAGTCAGGTGTCTTTGGGGATAAATGGTAGTTTGAATATGTTCACTGTTAACATTCCCTTCCACAACACAGGGTATGTTTGTTACCAGTTATATTGATAAGAGTTGTCCTCAGATGATTTGAGAACAGGGTGGAGGAATGATTGAAATGTGTAGGCGAAGAGACAACTGCTATCCCTGGAGGTGTTAGGAGTCTGCAGCGTTTGGGAGGTCTGCTGCTGCCATTTATATTTCTCTTCCCTGGAACTCTTCCTCGTAACAGATTTTGAACTAAAAATAAAGAAAATTTCCCATACTCCGTAAAAGAAGTTTGAATTTTGAAAGAAGTCTTCCCACCTCTTTTGAGAAAACTTCTATTGAATTTTACACACTTCCTATTTTAAATTTTTTTAGATCAATTTGGGTACATTTTTCTTTTAAAATAAGAACATTGAGGTCACCATTGCCTTTTATTGTCAAAGCAATCTTGTTTTCTTTCTTATAACTATATAAAATCTGGGCTCTTGAAATTGATGCTTATAAAGCATGTACTATTATATTCTTAAGTTATATGTATGTGGTCAAAGTTCATCCTAGTCACTCAATCGGTATGTTTGTGCCCACATCTGTGTCTGTTTGTGTAAAGTAAGAGCACTTGAGCTTTTTATTTTAAGTAACATACTTGAGATTCAGGTAAGAAATACAATTTTGTCACACACAATATTTACACACACACACACACACACTCACACACACACAAACTGTTAAGTGTTGCTCACAGGATACATGCTTTTTAAATCTCTGCACAATTTATACTGAAGAAGACTCTCCAAGGCCTGAGATTATAAAGCTTTCTTAAACTCAAGATAGACTCATGTTACAACAAAATCGGAGACTTTATCTGGTTATGTGCAAAAGTAATTTAATTTGAAAGTATCTATATTTGTAGATATTTATGATGATATATCTTAATAATATTCAGTTTTATTACAATCAAAATATATTTGACCTGTATTTCAAATCTTGCATAGCTAAAACTTACCACTATTAAGCAGGGGAATTGAGAAAAAGAAATATTCTTCTTTGGGTTTAAATAAGTATATTCTATTTTGATTTGGGTGTGTTTTTAACATTAATATTTTTTTAAAAGCTAGCATAATATTTGGTAAAAGAAGCAGAAGATGGAAATGCATGGGTAGTCAAAATGTCAATAGTGTGCTCAGCCACTAAGAGAGTATCCAATTCACCCCCAAACCATGGCTCAGGGACCATCACAGAAGAGGAGGCAGAACATTTAAAAAAGCTTGAAGTTGGAGAGAACCAGAGCAAACTGTATCTTTTGGCTATGACAGGACTTCTGCACTAATAAACTCAGGGCTGCCGAGCTTCCCTGCAAAAGACTTACAGGCTTCAAGGCAGTCGACATTGTGGCATGCAGAGAAAAGGGTTTCTTAAAGTTCCTACCCTTAACTGAAGAACTATGGATTGTGTGCACGTAGGCCTTGTTTAAGACTGTACATTTTGATATATCTATCATATGCTAGTGATGACCCCTTATCAAGGAATATATGGGCAGCATGAATTAGAGTTGGTGAGTTATTAAACATATTTAAAAGGACACAGTGCTGAAGAGGGATGGGAATGTGGAGAGCAGGGGGTGGTTCTGTCAGGAATGGTCGGCAGATATGACAAAAATGTCTTGTACCAAATTCTCAAAGTGTTAATCTGAATTCTTTTTAAATGTGAACAAACTCTTTTAGCAGTATTTGAAGAGACTATGTTTAGGATTGGATCCTATTTCCTGGGCCAAATGATTTTCAATGAATAAGATATACTACCACTGAAGGAAGGAAAGGATCGTGGAAGTCCACTGATAACATTTTAGCGATGAATATGTCTGTTTTTATGCCAATACCATGCAGTTTTTATTATTATAGCTCCATGGAAGAACTTGGTATCAGAGATGGTGTTACCTTTAGGGGTTCTTTTAATGAACAGCATTGTTTTAGCTATTTTTTTGGCTTTTCCATATGAAGTTGAGTATTGTTCTTTTAAGGTCTGTAAAGAATTGTGTTGGAATTTTGATGGGGATTACACTGAATATGTAGATTGATTTTGGTAGGATGGCCATTTTTACTATATTAATCCTACAGATCCAGGAGCATGGGAAATCTTTCCTCTTCTGATATTTTCTAAAATTTCCTTCTGCAAAGGTTAGACGTCTTTATCATACAGGTATTTCACTTGCTTCATTACCATTAGCATGAAATATTTTATATCATTTGTGGCTATTGTGAAGGGTGTTGTTTCTCTGGTTTCTTTCTTGGCCCACTTGTTATTTGCATGTAGGAGGGCTACTCATTTTTTTTTACTAGAAAGGCCAAAATGTTTAATAACAGCATATAGGTAAGAATGAAAGTCATGTAGATGGATAATCAAGGGGAATATGGTTATCACAGGGACCAGAATGTTTCAAGTGAACTGTGGAAGTCAGGAAGACACCCCCATTCATGCATAAGTTCTCATGGAGACAGGAGACTGAACCTCTAATATATATATTAGACGCACTGTGATCATGCAAATGTGGGCATTGCCATGTCTACAGAATCCCTGGAAATCAAAACAAACCTCAGCAGACACATAGTAACTAGCCTAGTTTTTCTAGACATACACATACAAAAACTCTCCCAGGCTTGAGGATATATTAGATGTCTAATATAAAATTGTGTCACTAACTGCTTTGGCATGGAAATAGATGAATGGGGTTGTATGATGGGAAGGGGAAGGGAAAAACAAATGAATATTGATGAATAGACAGATTATCTTAAAATAGTTTGTAGGTGACATTTTACCTACAAACACAATAGGTAGAAAAGCTTTCATATATTTTCAAATCCAGAGACTCGGGAACCTTAATGTTCTGTGTTTTGAAAGTATCTATGAATCAGGTTTCTGTATTGAAACTTAGACTCCAATATGATGATGTTAGGCATCTTGGAGGCCTGGGTCATAAGAACTATTAATTATCCAATCACACACAAGTTATCATCTTTGTGTCAGAGAGCTAGCCATCAAAATACAGCATACCTATTGGTATCTTAACCTTGGACTTCAAAATTTCCAAAAGTGTGGACTTGATGAGAGAGGGAATGTGATTTTGATACAACCCACTGGATGATATAAATTCTCCTAGTAACCCATATCAAAACTCTCCAAAGCTTCTGATTCAATTAAAGAGGGTTTTGGTCTTAGAGAAGAGGACACTGAGGATGAGAGCTTAAGCAGAAGGGGCTTAGTATCAGTGGAGTATGAATGGAGATGTGTACTTTGGGACTCATAAATCCACACTGTTATTGAAGCACTTATTGTGTGGGTGTAACAAAACATGGCCCAGAAGGGTAAAGAGTCTCATGTAGGAGATTTGTGATGAATGTGGAAGAACAGACAAGTATAGTAGTTATGTGAATGCTAAAATCAATTCAGGTTCCTCAATAAGTTTTGGGAACCTCAAGTTGATTCTATCATCAGCCAAGCCCACATATCATTCCTTACATAGGACCCTACAGTTCTTTGTGCATGTTCTGTGACCTCTTTAGCTCCTGGATCTTCTGGGGCAGAGTCTTGGTCCAGAACTGCAGCCTTCTGGCCTTCAGGGCTTGGCCCACAGCAGGATTGATGTTCAGTTGCAGGTACTGCTCATCATGGTCCAACATGGGCCAGTAGGGTAGACCTTCGCTGTTGGGGTTCCCATGTCTTGCATAGTTGGCCCAGTATTTCATCATCCTCTTGTTCAGTAGCTCCTCCTCCTCAGTGAGGTCAAATTTCACACCCCAGAATAAGGACCCAAAGACAAAAGGAACCTCATCACCATGGTCAGCCTTCATGTGGGGTGGCCTGACTTGCTTGAAAAAGGTGAGTTGATGTTGGAACTCATAGAAGTATACAGGGGCATGGAAACACTGAAAATGTGCTACTTGGAGTGCAGGGATCACAAACATGAAGTCCCCCATCATCTCTGTGAACTGTATTTGGAGGGTCTGGGGGTCCTCAGTGTCTCCCATGTATTCTTCCATGAGCAGGTCACTACACTCAGATGGCAGCATCTTTATTAATAGGGATACTGTCTGTCAAGGAGATATGAGGGACCTCTTTATATGGACAAGATTAGAGGTGTCTCATCATTTGTGCTGTTGTATTCTTCAGAACAGCCTGCAGGTTCTCTCTGGTTATTTCCTTTATTGTCTGGGCACTGTTTACAACCATAGAGATGATCCAACCATACTCATCATTGTTGACACCTATGATGCTGGGGACAGGTTGAAAATCCACAGAAGTCAACAACTCTTGGGGATGCCTGGGTAGGACTCCCCATCCACCATTTTTTTTTCAAAAATTAACCTTGCATCCAACCATTTCATTGAAGGTGGACTAGGAGCAGATAAGGTTGGGAACAGGAAGGTTCAAGGGGAGAAATGACTGGAATTTGGGGACATTTTGTGCATGAGGTGGAAACCAAGCCCAAGGGAAACTCCATTGAGTCTCTGAGAACAACCCTAGCAAATATTCCTAGTAATGAGGGACATAGACTCTTAACTGGCCATTTTCTGTAACTAGGTAAGGCCTCAAGTGGAGGCATTGGGTCCCCAACCTGACCACAAAACCTTTCACCAACAGCTTGTCCTGTGTTCTGTGACCATAGCCTATCAGAATCTTCACCAAAGAGACTTCATCTAACAGTTAATAGCCACAACCAAACACAAAGGAGAATTCAGGAGTCCTGTGGAGGAGGGAGAGGGAGGATCAGAGGAACCAGAGGTGTCAGGAACACCAAGAGAACAAGGCCCAAACAAATAATTGATCAGAACTCATAGGTACTAATAGAGATGCAGGAGCCTGTAGAGATCTGACCTATGTTCTCTACATATATGTTATTTCTGAGTAATTTAATGTTTTTGTGGGATTCCTAACATTTTTGACTACTTATGTAACTCTTTTCTTCCTACTGGCTTGCCCCATCCAAACTTGATTTGATAGTATGCTCCTGGTTTTATAGTAGCATATTAATACCATGTTTGTTCAATATCCCTGGGATGTTTGTTCTTTTCTGAGGGGAAGTAAAGGGAGGATGGAAATGTGGTGTAGAGGGTAGAAGGGAGCAGAAAGTGAGTGGAGGAAAGAAGGGAAAACTGTGATCAGGATGTAGTATATGAGAGAAGAATTCTAAAAAAGAACAAAAATCACCAAAATTAAAAAAAATAAAAATCAAAGAAAATGAATTTGACTTGTGATTATGGAACATATGATTTAACTATTAGTAAATTGTGACATCTTTACAGTTAGTAATTAAAACAAGGGAGTGATTTATATGGTTGCTTTAACTGGAAAACATCATGATTTGGCCTACATGATATTTAAGTCACTGTCAATAAAATTCATTGAGAAATTCATTCTGGAGATATACTTGACAGCCAACTTATTTGAATGACAGCTTCACTATTTACTATTTATTGACAGATTATATCTCCTTCAGAAATAACACATGCTGACTTACTCTTGAGGACACATGATTTTAATTCCTCTATATCATAATTTTAAACAGTAACCTTTTCAGTATCCCTTAAGACACACAAGAAATAGTTAAGCCTGCCTGGCACACACATTCAACCTTGAAAGCCTGACTGAGCTCAGCTGGGTGCCAATGGAGTGATTCAAAACAGGGCAAGGAAAACTGAAAAGGAATGAAGACTTACTTTAAAATGACATGCTCATGAACATGTCGGCATTACTGGGAATAGAGACTTTTTTATCAGTTTATTTTCTTTATTTCCCTAAGAAAAGACACCTGAGGTAACTGCCTAGCAGTGTTTGTTTTGCTCATTTGGGAGGAGTTACAATCACTGTTATTTTTATAGCACTTCTTTTTTGTGTTTTCAACAAATGTGGCAATGTTTTAATGGGGGAAGACTGACCATGCAAAGATATCTGGTTATACACTCACCTTTAACTTCTCATTTAATATGAGGATAGAGAATACACAGTGTCTATTCTCATTTGCTTCCTGAAATTTCTTTGTTTCATTGTCTTTGTCTTACTCCTTCCATTTCTTTCTTCTCTGGGTGGGGATACTGAGGACAGAACCTAAGGGATCACACATACACACACACATTCACTAATGAGCTATAACCTCAGACTATTTTATTTAGTTTTTGAGATAGGATCTTATTTAATTGCCCGTGGCTGGACTTGAACTCACTCTGTCACCTTGACAGTTTCTGATCTTCTAATCCTCTCACCTCAGCCTCCAAAGTAGCTGGGATAATATATCTAAGGCACGAGATATACTATCTTATGTTTTGTAAATTTCTTTCAGTAGGTCCACAAGAGTATACTTGATTATCTTCGTTAGAGGGAACATTCCATTGGTGTATGATCAGTGTGTGAAAACATATCTTTCTCTGTTATGTAACATATTTTAATACATATTTTATTATCACTTACAAGTTGTTTTTCCAAACAGGGTTTGTCTGTGTAGCCCTGACTGTCCTGGAACTCACTCTATAGACCAGGCTGATCTGAAACTTGGAAATTCACCTGCCTCTGCCTCGTGAATGTTGGGATTAAAGATATGCACCACCACCACCACTTGACAATAAATAATTTTTGTTTCTCTGTTTGTTTTGAGACAGAGTCTCTCAATGTATCCCTGGATGTCCTAGACCTCGGTATTATATCAGACTGGCCTGGAACTCAGATCATTTGCTTCTGGATTGCTGGGATTAAAGGCATGCACCACTACACTCAACCAAATATTTTAATTTTTAAATTAAAAAATTCTTCAGTAAACAGACAGTAAACCCAGGTAATTGAATCACCATTAATTCAAGAGTTTCAAAATAACTTAGATATTTGGAAAGAATATCTAATCCCTCTTTTATTGGTGCTTGGGGTCAATGCCATGGTAGCAAGTACTTTCACTCTTACTGATAGTCTCAGAAGATAAGATGTTATTTGAAGGTATCTGCAGGATCCTTAACTCATCACTATGCATCTTATAAAGACTTGCTTTTGCAGCTGAATACTTATTGAGTATAAAAATTAACAGTGGCTCATGAGTCTGAGTCTACTAAATTCAATTCAGGAGTGTCTTTTCTAATGCTCTTGTTCACCCTCTGATAAACTGCCCATTGCATTTAGGTTTTACTTTTTAACGTGTAGTTTGATCACTATTGTGAGACTTGATGACAAAGGAGACTTATTCAAGCAGGGTATTCAGAACTGGGGCATCTGAGAAGTAAAAAAAAAAAATAGTTCCACCAGGTTATCAAGATAGGGTTCTGTCCCATAATTGAATCCTATTGTGGAGAGAGAGAGAGAGAGAGAGAGAGAGAGAGAGAGACAGAGAGACAGAGAGACAGAGAGACAGAGAGACAGAGACAGAGAGACAGAGACAGAGAGAGAGACAGAGAGAGAGACAGAGACAGAGAGACAGAGACAGAGAGAGAGACAGAGAGACAGAGACAGACAGCGAGACAGAGAAAGAGGATATATATCCTGTTGAGTTTTAAAGAATAAAAATAAGAGGAGAGGTAGTGGTATTGGAGGTTTTGATACACTGTAGGAAATATTTTCATTGCAAATGGTATTTTCAGCTTGGACATGCATATCTCTGACTCATTACTTACAATAAATTTTACATAAATAGGAATTATGAAATACGCAAAGATCAAAAGAGTTAAGTGACACTAAGTCTATACCTAAAGATTATTAATCGTTACTGAAGGTGGCATATTTAGAATGTTTGAAAAAGTAAAATCTGTAGAAAGGTAAATGTTTTGTGACTGGAATGTAATTACAGAATACAATTGGCAACCTATATTAGGTTATTTTGAACTACTTGAATTATTGAGCTATTTTTGTCTACTTCATGTTACTTTAACAAAGTACCAGAGGCAGCCTAACTATGGAACTAAAAGAGGTTAATTTCACTCACAGCATGGCCTGCTATCATTGTCAGCTCAGTTCTGCTGAAGTCATCATGGCACATAAAAAGAGGAGAGAAACGAATCACATCACCCAAAACGGCTAGCATCCCGCAGTCTAAGGACACACCTACAATGATCCAATGATTTCTTATTAGGCCCAGCTTCTGAAGATTTCTGCACCTGTCACCATGGCATGCTTCTAGCACCCTAACGCTTTTGGGGAGACAAAGCTCTTCTAAAGCACAGCATGAACCAAGTGCCATGAAACAAATTTTAGAATGTGAGTGAACCTTCAACTGATTTTAATTATGGTAAAATTATGACTACCACAATGTTCTAAAACATACTGCCAGAACTTGGAAAGTGTACATTCTCTTAAGATATGACATTGAAAAAGTCCTTCCACAGTTATTTTTACTTTTAATAGTTTCAACATTTTCGCATCAATGACTTCGTAGTGAACAGATTAGGAGGGTGACATCATCATTGACATTATGCTTTTCTGTGATTGCCAAGTATTGAATTAGAAAAAATAATGCTTTCAGTTTATTGGCTATTGTACTGGTAGCCTTAAAGACATTTACAAACAGCAAAATGATCAACTGTATAGTTTTCTTCTCTGTAGTATAATGAAGCTGGGTTACCAGTACTACAAGCTCCAGTATATGACTCGGGTAATATTTTCCAAAAGTAGCTATACCTATTTGATTTTGCCAATTCTCTTGTTGAGGAAGTAGTTATAATAAACTGGAAGGAATCATTTTCCTAATATAGGATTGTCATTTGGGTTCCCTGTTATCTTTTATACTGGCATCGTGTCAGAAATTCTAACATAGTTGTCCCTGGAGGGGAAAAGTTTACAAATCTGGTAAGATACAAACTGAAAATAGAAAAATTGCTTCTGAAGACATTTCCTGTTTAATCTTCAGTCCTGAGGTATTTTTTAAAAATGATTGATATCTTTCCTGGCTAATGAATTTTAAAGGGCTCACAGTCAAAGAATGTTACATAATATTTGTGTCATTTCTGAATTGCCATGCTATTTGGACAAGCTCATTATGCATATCAGTAAAATGGTGAGAAGCTCTAGTAGCATACAGTGGCTCCTCAGGTAACCATATATTTTTCAAATTGTATTTTTCAGTCAGATAAAACAAACAAACAATTAATACCTATTATAGCCTTACTTTATCTTATACAGATTGGCCTGACTGGAAAACTCAAGTGCTAGTGAGCTGAGAGTTGTGTGTTATCTGGAAAGTGTGAGAAGGACATAGGAAGACAGAATGTTCAAATAATGCAAAAACCATGCGTGGTGCCAGTGTGACACGGGAATAGAGTCATTGGCTTGAGAACTGTACTCACTGTCT